TGCAAGGCATTAATTTTAGCTTGGCGTAGGGATGTCGGGACAAATGGGCGCTACGTCATCGGCGAAGCCGTTCAATCAGCGGGCTCTTCGCGCCCCTCACGCGCCGCACGCGCGCCTCGATGAACTTTGCTTTGAATGATTGACACCTCGCTCGGCGCGACGTCAGCGTCGCGAGAGTCCAATTAGCGCGTTCCGCAACTTTCGGACAAAAAGTTGTGCTTGACGAGTTTAGCGACCCTGGGGTCTTTAACGTGCACCACGCAGTAGTGATACACGACCGCACGCCGGTACGATGCTCATCCAGATCGAAACGGGCAGGGTTGGCGCTCGAGCCCAGGATCCCTGGGTTCTGCGGCGCGAGCTTTCGCTGCGCGCGTCGAGCTGGGTGTGCGCTTTAGCCCACTCGGCCACCGATCCCCCCGGGACTGGGTGAATGCAAGCACTGCAAAGACTGGGAAGCGCGAGCGTCTTGAGGCGCAGTCTGAGTCCTGCTGAGCTCATGCGCTGGCCTTGGCAGGGCTTTCTTTCCCGGGGGGATCGGTGGCCGAGTGGGCTAGCGCACACCAGCTCGTAACACGTGGAGCGAAAGCTCGCGCTGCAGAACCCAGGGATCCTGGGTTCAATCCCCACCCCTGCCCGTTTCGATCTGGATGAGCATCGTACCGGCGTGCGGTCGTGTACCACTACTGCGTGGTGCACGTTAAAGACCCCAGGCTAGCGGTTGTACTGCACTGGCTAAATTGCTCATCTACAGCTAGGAGACTCGTCGCCCCTGTGAGGCAGACCAAGTTCTAGGCTGTATAAACATACACACAACCCAATTTCTTTCCCGCACGCTGTGTTCCAAATCTTACTCGAATAGATACGAGTAACTCCGCGCGCCGGTCACGTCACGGGACAAGACAGATAGAGCACCGCTGAACGCGGGTAGGCTTTCGATCGCCAAGGTACAGGACATTTACCCTAGAAAGGGATCGAGGAAATTTTGGAACACGCGTCTCAAGTCTCAGCTGACACGCTGTTTCTAGCAAGTCGGCCTTGGAGTCCGATTTTGTTCAAGATCAGAGTGACAATGTTCTCAGTAGATGATTGGACGTGGCGTGGCAGCTTCATACTTTGGGCACGTAACCAAAAAATAAGAAATATTTTGCCCATCCACAGTCGGTTTACCAACCCCCCCCCCCCCCCCCCCCCCCCCAAAGCGCCTACTACTAGTACTTTTTGCTCGTGCGCGAATAGGAAAAAAGCGTCTCGCTGCCTCTGACGCGCTTGTCCCTAGTACGCCTTCATCCACTGGTCGATGTCGGCTCGTGTACAGCAGCATAAAAAATTGCAGTTTGCAAAAGAATCGTGGGTTGTCAATGGCTTCCAGCGTGAAATAGCAAACGAGCACAAATTCAGCCCGCGTCCGATCTCACTTTACCGGGGCGCTTGGTTCGTAGCAGACGATGAAGATTTTTTTTCCAGGTCTGTAATGGCCGATTCACATGACGGACTGATTCGTGCACGCAATGATCACGTTGCAACACATCCGCGGTTCACCCGTCTCCCAAGCGTGTCCACGCGAAGGAGACAACGATCAGACAGCGAGGACAGACCAAACCAGTTCGCCACCCCAAAGTGCCGCGAAACTCCAACATATCGCACTGTGGCACCGTTGCCTAAAGGGGAAATCGACGTTTTCTACAGCGATAAAGAATGGTGCGCAACTGTTACGTACAAAGCGAGAGAGAACACCGCGATAGGCTTAGCGCGGAGCGCCACTATAGACCGTTTTACCGAAAGAGGGCGAGAGAGAAAAGGGGAAAGGGCTACCGGCGCTTTCCCCCTTTCTGATTGTGTAGAAAGAGTGAAAGTCCCGGATGAGAGGCTTCGCCGCTGTTGGGTGTCTGCTGTGCCCTAACTTCGTTCGCGCTTTCTTTTCTGTTTTGAACTCGCAAACTTAATTAGAGTAACGGGCTTCGGTGGCAACAGTTCCCCGGTCATCGGGACACCATTGCTCGGTCATAGGGTGCACGAATAACGATAGAAAGCGTCGAATACTCTCCGAGGACCTATGTATATAGCCTGCAATGAATCCGGCAAGGCGAGAGCGGCTGCAATGTCTTTAAGCTCCATCGCTTTCCACATGACCCCGGTCTTGGCGGCAGTGGATTGCTTTCGTAAACCGAAGACATTTCCTCAACACCATCTTCTCGACTGTGCTCGGAACAGCTTGTGAATGGAGCGCGCACCGAACGCTGTACCGCCGATGAACATGGGGTACGCTCGCAAGGTGCGTGCCAGTTTTCTCGTGTTTCAGCTTGTAAAACTTTGTAACTGAATTTATCTTAATATTGATAATTTGCAGTGCTGACTGACTCGATTTCATCATTTACAACATTTAGTTGAAGGCTTATTTCCGCCGCCGGGTGAGGCTAGAAATTGTTGAAAAGGTAGTTCTATCGGTTTTCCTGAGTAGCGATCCCCTGTGCGATACCAGAGAGCCGACAAAAGCGCTCCTTGGAGTGCCGCTGGTGGGTTGTTTGGGTTGTTTCCGTTGATTGAGCGCTTTGAAGCGCTGGATAGTCCTTCCAGGGTACGACTCGTGTGTTGCGATCTGCGTCTTCGAGCCCAGTGTCTACGTTTCTTTGTTCGAGTCATGGCATCCGCCAGTGCGGCAACGGGGGGAACAGCGGCAGCGAACGTGTCAGTGATAGAAATTGGAGGTTAGTACTCAAAGTATTGCATCAAATAGTAAAATAATTCGTGGCTGCTTTGACGCTTTCTGCGGTTCGATATAAGCACATCTAGAACGTCTTCGTCGTTCATCCACAATCAAATATGAAAACACGGACACGCAAGATAAAAGCAGCGCAGCAAAACGAAATGTAGCAGCTCCGGGTGTTTACAAAAGTTAATTGAGGTTCCCGTTTCGTGTATCGCTTGTTCATTACTAAAAACGGCTGCGTTGAAATGGGCCTATTGCAAGCAAAAATTTATGAATGGTTCATCATTTCCAGTCACGCGGAAAGCGGTGGAGCTTCAAAACATTGCAGCCGCACGTGCCTTGCCGAATTCCATGCAAGCTACGAGGTCCTTGGGCGGTATTCGACGCTTACTGTCGTTATTCGTGCACCCTATGACCGAGCAATGGTGTCCCGATTACCGGGGGACTGTTGCCATCGAAGGCCGTGGCTCTAATTAAGTTTGCGAGTTTAAAACAGAAAAGAAAGCGCGAAAGAAGTTGGGGCACAGCAGACAACCAACACCGGCCAAGCCTCTCATCCGGGACTTTTACTCTTTCCACACAATCAGAAAGGAGGAAAGCGCCGGTAGCCCTTTCCCCTTTTCTCTCTCGCTCTCAAAATGGCGCTACCCACGATAAAACGGTCTTTTCGGCGTGTAAGTCATCTCCCTTGAACCGTGCACGACGTGGGCCTTGCTGCGTTGTACCAGGGTGCAGTCTGAGATCTGGAACGAACCTTCTTTCGCAAGTGCGAACATTTAGGTTCCCCACAGAAACCGAGAGAAGGAAAGCCTGGATCGCAGCGGTACGACGGGACAATTGGGTGCCTACTAAGAGCTCACAGATTTGTTCTGCCCACTTCGTTCAAGGCAAGTATTTAATTTAGATTTTATCATCCCCTGCCATGGGTTCGGTGTCTTGAACGTTAGCGTTGCGGAACATTTCGCACGCAAACAAGCGTCCCGTAACATCGCCCGAGATGCTCGGGAGTGCAATCGTGAGTCAGCCGGCTTAGCCGCGTTTAATGGACCCTGACTAATTTCGAAGGCTAAGATTGCTGCTTGATGGCTCAAAAAGTTACTATCGCGTACTATGCCAGATTATGGGGACGTATTCGTCGTCTTTAGATGTTCGAGGCCGCGTCAGGAGCCATCGGGCACTTATGGTGCGCTGAAAAATCATCCGTTCGTGTATCCGACTCCGTTTCCAGGTGGTTTTCGACAGTAGCTAAAGCTAGGAACGAGTGCATCTCGGATTTCGCCTGTGCGTTCGCTAGAGGATAAGCGCTTAGACCGAAAGCGCTGACAAGCTGGGCGACGCACTTCCCCCTGATGCAGCTGCTGTCCAAAAGAACCTCGATCGGAGCCTAGTTTCAGGTTGTGTTATGTGGCTTCGTGTGCAACATTGCACTGCTCCTGTTTGGGAAAACTAAAGCATACGTAGGAAAGCAGCTAGGCCACCACATTTTAAATTACCACACGTAAAAATTTCCTCACGTGCGTGTGTCCGTGGCACAAAAAACAGTAAAAAAATGGCATAAAACGCAAGGGTGTGTCACTTTCTACCGTAACTTTTTTTTTTAAGGAACATGAATTTGTGTCATAAATTACTCCTTTGCCCTTGTTCAATGAAGGAAATTCTATCAACATGTTCTCAGCGGTTTCCCCTCCCCACAATTTGTTTACTGTACAACTCTTCTGCAGAGTTAATATACAACTGTTACTGTTTCACCTGCACGCTTGCGTGTATTTTGTAATGTCTGTACATTTATATCTTTCAGGCAGGCCATCTTCTGATGCAAGTCATCCTGACTATGTCCCTACACTGTTCCCTTATCGTGTTCGAGGGAACCTCGAGCAGAAGATCGCACGGTACCAGCGTGCTAAGAAAAAGCATGCGCCAAGTGGCCCCCCTGCAGTGGACCCTGGTGTTGTAAGCCAGCGTGAGCGCAGTGTTGTCCAGAAAATTGTACGCTTCCGTCAGGGAGGGTACAATTTTCTGGAAAAAAGAACAAGTGTAGCAGCGTTCGTCGGGGCTGGACGTGTCCTTTTTCCTTCGGCGTGTCCGCTTGGCCGCGGGCCGCCGCTGCCCTCCACGCCATCGTCGTCGTACCGTAAGCCTTCCTGTGCATATATCCTAATGCAGTATAGCCCCTCAAACACTACACCTGGCCCTCCAACAGTCACCATTGAGAGTGTTGGCCACGAGGACAATGTTGAAAAGGCCTGTGACGCAATGACAGAAACAACGCTTACTCTACAGGACATCTCAAACCAGATTTTGGAGAACAAATCATTAAAAGAGCGCATCATTTGTATGGAACAGGACTTGGCAGTCGCTAAAAAGAAGATTGCTGAGCTTGAGGAGGAAAAGAAGCCACCCAACCTTCCGGAAGTTACCAAAAGCACAGTCATGCAGTCTGACAAGACTGTGAAATTTTACACGGGGCTAGTGTCTACAGCCATGTTTAATGCCTCGCTGCAGTTTGTGCTGTCCATCTGGAATCCACCACACAGGACATGCCTAGATCCAGAGCAGCAACTGATCCTAGTGCTCATGCGACTGCGACTAGGTCTTCTAACACAAGACCTCGCATGTCGATTTGGCATCTCAGCATCCACTGTAAGTGTAATTTTTCACTCGTGGCTCGACGTTTTGGCAGAGAATCTCAAGAAGTTCATAATCTGGCCATCTCGACGGTCGATTCAAACCCATCGTCCTCGAGCATTTCGAGACCCATTATTTGACCATGTCAGGGGAATAATTGACTGCACGGAAGTATTTATCCAGAGACCAACTGTAATGAAGGCCAGAAGCCAAACTTTTTACAGCTACAAACACCACAATACCATCAAGCTGCTTGTTGTGGTATCCCCGTCAGGAGCAATCACGTTTGTTTCGAAAGCCTGGGGGGCAGGGTTTCCGACAAGGAGCTAACCTTACACAGTGGGCTACTTGACATAATTGAAGAGGGAGATGTCTATCTTGTCGACAGAGGGTTCCGCTGTGAAGACATGTTTGCAGCTCGAGGCGCAACCCTTTGATGCCCTCACTAACAAAGAAGCGCACCTAACTACCTGGAGCTGAAGTCACTGCGTCAAGGAAACTCTCCAGCGTCCGCATCCATGTTGAGAGAGCAATACGAAAGCTGAAAGTTTTTAGATTATTCCAGACTGAGCTGCCGGTAAGTTTCGTGAAAAGAGCCGGCAATGAGGGCTACGTGACCATTGACAAGATAGCAGCGGTGTGCGGCGGGCTTGTCAACCTGCAAACTCCTCTCATCAACAGCCGCTAGGAAAGCTCGCGAGAACAGCTGGCAATGAAGGCTATGCAACCATGGACAAGTCAGCAGTTGTGTGTGGTGAACTTGTCAACCTGCAAACTCCTATCATCAACAGCCGCCAGGAAAGCTTGCGAGAACAGCCGGCGTTGAAGGCTATGCAGCCATGGACAAATTAGCGGCTGCGTGTGCTGAGCATGTCAACCTGCCAACTCCTATCAACAGTCACAAGGGCTTGGCTGTGCATCACTAAATGTTTTCATTGCAAAGGAAGCAACACATGGTGAAGTGTGAAGTCAGTGTGCCTTATAATAATTTCTTGAGTGCTAGACTGCATTGATCGGTAAATACAAGCATTTTTATTATGCTTACTTTTGGTTGCTGGGTGCATAATTTTCTTGACTACTAATTACATGTGACAAATGAAAGTGCAAAGTGAAACACAGACGAGATAAGACACACGTACGACAAGGGCAGGCCTGCGCCTGTCCATGTCGTACGTGTGTCTTATTTTGTACATGCTTTAGTTTGCACTTTAACCTTTTAAATTACATAAACTAGACCAAACAAAGTTTTTTTGCGACAGATAAAACCTGAACTCAAGCTGCCACCTTGACAGGCTTTGGCTTTTTTATAATTTAAGTCCCTTATGATCATAATATTATAAAATATTCACTGGTATGTACTGTACATGCTTGTTCGTCGAATAGTTCAGAACTTTTTGTATGTGTATAGTACATTCGGGGCACTTTTGAGTTGTAAAAATAACTTATAAACATACTTGACTAGTAACATCAAAGCCAGACAGCAAAACGATATTCTTAAAATTTTTAATTGCATACAGCACAAAAAAGAAAAAAGTCCGAACAAGTTGTGTTGACATTTAGTTGTCGCTGCAGTATGGCCGACAGTTTGGCATGCAGTGCACACCCATGATCTTGGTGTGCGTTTAAGGTTTACACACTTCAGATGGAAATTGTCACAACAAAGTTAACATTCAAGGCTATGCAGCCTAATTACATGCAGCAACACCAAGAAAAAAAAAAGTCCGAACAAGTTGTGCTGACATTCAGTTGTCGCCGGTACGGCTGACAGTTTGGCATGCAGTGCACACCCATGATCTTGGTGTGCGTTTAAGGTTTACACACTTCAGATGGAAAATGTCGCAACAAAGTGAACATTCAACAACACGGCCCGACCTAGCGCCATGGCAATGGCATGTTATCCTCGCACATTCCATTTGCTTGAAGATTCGCATCGACTGCAGTTCTGGAAAGATGTGGTTAATAAAAAAGCACTCTGCTTTAAGTTTTGCAGCTGCCCAGAAATTCTCATCAAAGGTTATAACCTCAATATTTATGGGAGGTCCCGTAAAAACAGCAAAGTATGCTCGACGGAGCTTCGTGGCCGCCATTTGTGCTTGTACTTGGGCATAATAACCGTGATCGTGCCTCAGCTGCAGGTTCTCATCGAGATAAGGTAAACGCTTAGACGTTTTAGTGAGGGAAGCACCTTTCATTGATGCAGCACACTTGACCTCCAGGACTGCCTTCTCGCAGCATGCGCAAGAGACAATGGCATCGGGAGATGCAGCTAGAAAGGGCAGGCTTCCTACAACAAACAAACCACACTCATTTAGTTGCAGGTCTTTATGTTTCAGGGACTCCTTTGCAATAAATGCTCGTTTAGATTCTGGTTCCTTTTCGGAGCCCCAACGGAGGTTTGAAACACGAGGTGCCTCTATATACCCCATAACCTCCGCCACAAGGCCATCGGCACCGCTCTGGCATGTAGCCACTCGACCCAAGACAGACGCTGTTATTCTGCCCTTCCGTTCTTGCTTCCATCTGAGGGATCTTGATTGCCCGCGAGTGGCTTTCTCAATCTCAGTACAATGTGCAGCTGTTAGCCGAACTTCCTGGGCTGCTCTTAGGTCCATGTTTTGGTAAATACTACCAAGCGGCAACTGTGAGGGCGTCTCCTTGCGCTTGGCCGGTCTCTCTGGTTCTTGGTCAGCTGCTTCAGGAGCGGAGTCAGTGTCCTCGCTGTCCGTGATCGAGCACAGCAGAGGCGTTTTTGGGGCTAATGCCTATAAGAACAAAAACCGGATTAAAGTGTACATTGGTTGGTGACAATGTGTAATGCAAACATCACTGGCCAACCCTCGACCTGGGAGTTGAACCCGGATTTTTAGTGTAGTCATGCACACTTACCCAGTCAGGATATTTCGGATGGCTAGGCACAAGACACTGGACTTATGAACTAAAAATAATTTATTTCGATTGTCTCACCTTTATTCGGTGCATGAAGCCGCGAACTTGTTCGTCTGTCCATGTCGGTACAGGTCCCCGTGGTCTCGGAGCAACTTGAATCACAGCCTGTCCTACCTTAGGCTTGAAGAATATGATGTCGCTAAGTGGTGCTGCCTGCATGCAATTTTGCAGTTAGTTCTTGCAGTTCTGAAAAAAGACTGACGTGACAGAGCAAAAGTGAAGACTTGAAATCATGAAAGGCTTACTACACTTTTTCTTGACACCTCAATCCACCTGCATGCCACATCAGTCGGTGATGGGTTGTTTAGCCCATACTTCACAGTTGCTTCAACGCTGAAGAGTAGAGCAGCAACGTGAGTACAGCATTCCCCCAGGCTGAAATCCACAACAGCATAAATATGATGTATTAAGTACCCAGAAAATGCAAGGAAAGCATGAAGCTCCATGTGTTGACGAATGTGACAAGCATAACACCATAAAAGCACCCATTAGATTAAAGAAAATTTCGTGCAACTTCGAAGAACTGCACAGCATCAAGTTTCATGACATGGCGGCAATTTGTAATTACATGCACTTATACGTTGATTATGCATAGCGACTCAAAACGATTACCACTATGTAGATACGTGCAGCTTGTTCGCCAATGATACATCAAAATAAAATACCTTAGTCAAGCAGTGTTTTTGTGGGTAAACAGTGCCCGCGTTTTTCTTTTTTTCACGCAATTCTAGAGGGAAATCGGAAACCCAGACTCTTGTAGCTATCTTAAGAGTCGCGCGAGATCGAACAATGGAGTAGGAAATCGTGAGTTTTAGTAGATCGTGTCTACAGGGAACGACATTGCTAGCGGGAGATATCGCTCCCACTTTGAATCACGTTTGAAGCGCACGCCCGGAGCGGTAGCGGGCCTCCGAAAACGATCTGCCAAAACTTCCAATCACTCAAATAGACTCTTGTGAATGAAGTACTCACCCGGCCATGCACGTGCAATGGGCACTAGTAACAGTTCCATCGTCCTGGACAACGCACCACGGTTGGTATGCTTTCGTTAGCGTTTGACTGGCCTCGACAGTTGCCGCAATGACGACGATGCCTTCCCCACGCTTGCCTGCCTTGAACGACACAAGCCGTTTCACTTTTCCACTCACAAAGGCGTTGTATGCTTCGCCCATCTTGTGGCTTTTGAACTGTTCCTTGGTATAAAAGCACACTCCTTCCACGAGATACATGAAGATATCTGCTGCCGTGAATGGGGGGAAGTTCCTGGAGTCCGAAGAAAAGCTAAACCGTACCAGATCACCGTCCAGCGGGTCGGGCAGCTCTTGGCCTCTGAACGACAACTTCTCTCGATACCGATCCTGTGCCTCGATGTCGAGCCCTTTAAAATAGTCACTTGACATTTCCGTAGGCGAAAGGGTAAACACTCTGCACACTAAAATTATCACGCCGGTCGAAACATCAGCAACCCAGCTCGTACGCACCATTGGGAAACCACGCAGGAAAAAACCGGAAATTCTTCGACCGGAAGTCGCGGGGGGGTATCCAATCAGCGTCAAGCGCCGCTTGTTTGCAAACACCAAAAGCGTCTATAGTTTTACTAACTCAAGTCATGGCAGTGGCACAGGCCGCGACCGGCTTTATGGGGGGACCATGCAGGTCACTCGAGGCAGCACGAGCGCGCTGCATTTGCTTTTGCTTATTTAGTACTTTCTCTAGTTCGCTGAACCGCCACCGTGTTTTCTGGTGCTGTAGCTTAACACGCTAGCAGACGCTTTCGCGTGTGTATCTGTGTGTGTCCGCTCCACGACCGGCGACGTTTTGAGGATAATCGGCTGTATTTTAAGGACTTTTCTCATCGTTATTGCGATAAACAGTCAGCGGTAAGCAGCTACAAGCTGATCTAGATCGCATTCTTCTCTGGTCTAAGGATAGCAAACTTCCCCTAAACTTAAACCAAATGCGCTACCATTCACATCACTGCCTCGCGCCAACCTTCGACCCCTCAAACACTTTTCCTGAACCAAGTGGACATCCCAAGAACAACGCATATCCACCTCCTAGGTGTCATCATCGACCAGCATTTCGATTTCCATCATTATGTCCGAAACGTCGTGTCCGGGGAAAGGTGACTCCTTGGCTTCGTCATTCGGTCTACAAGAAGGGCCAGTCCCGATGTGTCCAGATTGCTCTTCACAGCACCGGTGTTGCCCATCCTGGAGTTTTGCTGCTCGGTGTGGGATTCGGCAACCAGGCGTCTTGTTGCCTCCCTCGATTGGCGCAACGTCGCGCTTCCTTCCTTATCATGAGGCGCCAACTTGGCTCCCGAACACCATCCTATCCAGTACTGCGCCTCCTCCGTTCAGCAACATCGACGTCAAGTAGCG